TTTGACAGTACACCACAAGATGAATATGAATGGCTGTTAAATGTCAGAATAATTAGCAATGTTCTCCAAAGAACTACTTTTGATGTCAGTATTCCTTTTCACGAGCGAAAAGCCGCAAACAATTCCAAAACAGTTCAGTTTTGCGAGCATTACGGGCTACACGCGGCCGCCATCTTGTTTTTGTTTGCCCTGATTACCCATGATCCCTCAACAAGCGCGAAGTCCTGTTCGTTTGTTCAAAACTTGGGGCCAAATCTTTCGGAGATGTAAGTCAGGACATTCGTAAGGATACAGAAAGTAATTTGGAACCAGTTTCTGGCTTCTAAGGCTAAAATTATCCAGAAGTAAGCTTTTTTATCTTGTACGTGACGAAGGTCACGCGGTGAACAAATTGAATAAATCATCGGCTCTTCGCACTGTCTCGCTTTGTTTTTTTGTTTCGCTCTCTTTTGCAGCCCGCCGAGGTCATTTTTTCATCTAAATCTACTAGAGAAAAGTTTGAAAAAGATGCTCCCAATTTAATGTTCAGCTCTCAGGCAATAATTCTAGACTTTTTTTGACCGAAACGTTGGTTCGTGTTTTTCGGTTGCCATGGGCGACCGTCGCTTCCTTTGTTGAGTCAAGCGATGAGGTGAGGTCACAGAAAACATTCTAATTAGTTCTAGTTTTGTTCGATTTCGCTGAAATTTTAATATGATAAAACTGGATTGTTAAGGAATAGATTTAACTACGGCAATTGTACAGTAGCTATTAACGCTAGAGTGATACATCGCTTCGCAGTCAGGGTTTTGAAGAGAGTTTTTTGCAAAGCGTGGGTTCGGCGTGATTTTGTAATCAGAGATTTTTGTTAACCCTGAAGGAAAAAATATCCGGAAAAGGTAGTTTCATCGACGATGCAAACTAATATAAATTTATATATGTTTCGAGCTGAATTTCTAGTGGGAAAAAGATATTTTTGACGAGCGCTGGGTTTTTAATTTTTTTCCCGCGAAAGTGTCGAACGACAAAGTCCAATTCTCGTCCAAGGTTATAAAAGCTAGTCTTTGATCCAAGATTGCTCAAAAACCTACCATGAGACCCACGATGAAATTTTCACAGTTGATTTGTTGGGGTGAATCCCGTCTAGGGCCAAAATTTAAAAAAATATATGTAACGCAGCTTTTGAGCAAAATTTGAAATAGACAAAATTTCACATTTTCTTAGTTTGCAACTGAATAGACCTTTTTCGCTTGAGCAGTTTGTTGCGCCATTTCAGACCATGTGATGATTCTCCTGGGAATTCTTGCTTTGCTTCAAATTTTTGAATAGTGGCGTGTATATGAATAAATAATTTTGACATTGATGAAAGAACCATTCTCTAGAGAATATCACATGGACTGTAATGGAAAACAAACCGCCCAAGCTAAAAAGGTCTATTAAAACCGGCATTCATTACCCGATCACAGGGCATTCTTACGTCATGTTTCCCCTGTTCCCTCTAGTGGACAACAAATCAAACACAACTTATCACTTGTTAAATAGGGGAACTGACTGACGTCATAATTAATAACAATCACTGAAGACGAATTCTCAGTAGAGAGTGTAGCCTGCGTAGCAAGCGTTTCTGTGGGGTTTGGGAGCAAAGAATTACAACGCGAAAAATGGAGCGAATAAAAGAGGGTGGAGGGGGAGGGAAAGGAAGGAAGGAAACGCTTGCAGACAAACCCCTCTGTTTTGAAAACCGCCCACTTGGCCTTTCATGCCTGAGTGCGCACACTGAGATATCGTGCTGTCATCGGCTGTCATAAATTAACCAATAAAATCTTCGGCCTTCTATAGCGGAAGTGAACTTTGAACCAAAATAAACTTTAACTTGTCAAAATATGCACGGTGGGAAAGGAGAAATTCTCGATGAGTTAAATTTGGCAATTTATAATCAAGCTACATATCTACTCAATCCGTCTAAAAGGAAGGACTGTAAGGGTGAAGTTTTAGCACAAATCTACCAGAAAGTT